TGTTTTCCCCTCATCGTTCCTTGCTCCTATTCCACGGCCTCCATGCACCCTTTCTAGACCCCTGTTACTACTCACATAGCCATTCAGGTCACGATCTCTAGTTGAATCCAGCTAAGTCACCCTCTCAAATCTAACTAATGGTGTTGTCTAAGGTCAGATAGAACTCATCCTCGTTCAGCTCGGAGCGACCGGATTTCGGTGCGTATACGGTCACTGTTGTCCAGCATCCATCTTCGGTGTCTATTCCCACATCCATGAATCAATCACTGATCCAATCACTGATCACACAGAGTAGAGTCTGCGAGGGATTCTGTTACCGCTATGGCCACACCATTCCGTTTATTGCATCCTCTGTTGTAGAAGAGCTTGACCACTTCCCCAATCTCGCGGGCCTTCGCTCCCTTCCATCGAGTCTGAAGGCATAGAACTTGGAACTTCCTGTGTCTCATGAGTGTCTATGTCTGTAATGTCTCTCAACCTCTCGAGACTTACTGGTGAGCGGTCAGGGTCCCAACTTGAACTGGCTTTTTTGACCGAGTTCCCCTCGCCAGCCCTCGCATAGCGAACACAGAAATTGGGCGGGGTTTCTGCACGCCCATCAGCTAACCTGTCAACCTTGACCTTGGTATCAACACCATTTTTGCAAGTTGTGCAAGTCATGGTCCTATGCCTCGACAGGGAAAGAGTTCGTGGCTGAGAGTGCAGACATGAGCCTACACTCATAACCACCCACTCTCTCTGCCTCATCTCGCTTCTGAAAAGCATAGGCATGCAGTTACTTGCCGAAGACTGCTGTGCAGGTATCCTTACATTCTATAAACCAGTAACTTTGTGTGTCGGTTTGTATGTTTGTATGTATGTAGGTTTGTAGGTATGTATGTATGTATGTATGTATGTTTGTCTGTCCGTCCGCAAAATACTTCACGGGTTCGAGTTCGCTGGAGGCGAAAACGACCGCTAGGCAAACCGGTAACCGATTGGTGCAGGATGTATCAATCCAATGTTTTGATTGTGATAACAGCATATATAAGACAACCACTCGGTACACTCCGAGCCATTGCACGAGCTGCTGCCGTGGCAGCTGGACGTGTGCTCGTGCGGGGGCAGGGTGGGGGTGCCAGGTCGCCCTGCCTCCTTCTCCTGCATGTGCTCAGCCGGAGCTGAGCACATGTATTGGAGGGAGGCAGAGGGAAGGGGTCGCGGGGAGGGGGGTACAGTGAGGGGTGCGTAGCGCGCGTTTCAGTAGAAACGCACACCAATGGATGAGGAAACAACCGCTAACAAAACTGCAAGCCAATCTATGTTACCGTAACGAACTAAGAAGTTGGAGTGGCGAGTACGGAATGGGGTGAGGTGAGGAAGGTGGGAGTTAGTATCGAGTGACCCCCTTCTCCCATCCTCACTTCCCTTGCGCGTACTCAGTCGGATCTGAGCCCATGCAGGGGAAGGAGGCATATGGATTGAATCGGGCAAACTGGGTACAGTAAGGGGATGCGTAGCGTACGCTTGAATAGGAGCAGGCGGCAAGACAGAAGGAAAGAACCGCTAGCAAAACTGCAAGCTAATCCATGTTACAGCAACGAACTAGCAAAGCGTGGTGTGATGTCCCGTACAAACCCACCTGTGATAGACTCTTGTGCTATTGTAGAGAGCTTGCTCGGCTTGGGAAGCTGGACGTTTGAGCCACGCACACAAGGCGGTGGTAAGAACAGTGGCGGCGTAGTGTCCCTATGTTGCACCAGCTGCTCACGTGGCGGCTGCACACCACGTGCGGGAGTGGGCGCCAGTTAAATAAGGTCAGTGGGATATAATGTGGTGAGGGGGATACCAGATGAGAACGGCGATTTCGCGATTATGAGCACATAGCACCTGCTGCGGTAAGGCGTCTACGGTTGCGATAAGATGAGAAGAAAATGGATCGACCGCAATCGGAACTGAACCGATTAATGTTGCATTTATCAAATTGTGGTAGCGTTTTGATAGTCATAACACCCTCCACAACATAACACAACCATTTAGTGCACTCAGAACCATTGCCGGGCTATTCGCGTAGCAGCTGAGCGTGACCTGTACGGTGGCTGAAGCTGAGGAGAATAGCTCACGAGGTTTAGTTTGGGATGTAGGTGAGGTGAAGGGGTACTATATTGGCGTGACCGACGCTCGCCTGAACAGAAGCACGCAGCGATTGCGGAGACCGAAACATCCATGGCTGTGATGGGGAGGAGAGTGATCGATTATCCATGACCAGATTTTGAACTTTTCATTATGAAAGTGCCCTGCGATCATATGGCGCGTTTCTACATTCATTTGATTAGAAGGACAGCGGTTAGTCACCATGAGAGCATCATAAATGCCTAAGACAGTAGAATCGCCCTGCTTATGTCCTAATTTGCTCCTTTCTTTCACGAGCTAAGAAGTGAGACTCTAAAACAGTTGCATGAGCCCGGCGAAGCCGGGCTTCCAAGAAGGAGGAGAGCTCGGCGTTAGCCGGGCGATCCGACTGGTTATTCCATATTTTGGTGATCAAAAGCATAACATTCACTTCTGATGTTAGCGCTATTTAGCCACTCTCCCATCAGGTTCAACATCATTTCGATTGGAAGTAATCTAGGGTTTTGATTACAAATACTGAATCAGTCATGAGACTGATGACAAGGACCTGTGGCAGCTCTCAAAAATGCATCGAACGATGTTCGACCCCTGCAAAATCTGTAGAGGGATTAAACTGGCCTCTTTAGCAGCACGCTAAAAAAGAATTTTGTGGACGTAATCACCAAATCACCGAATATCCCTCAGTAGCGGTCAAAAGCATCTAATTTGACCGAGCGAGTGTCGTCTCGGACATGTATAGTAAAAGACCCTCATCACTTCGAAATAGGCATCGGTATCAAACTTCACTCAAATAACAAGCTGCTAAACAGATGACATTGGTGGAGTTCGAAGAAGAAGGAAAAGAAGAGGTATCGGTGACAGTGTGACTGTCGCGGAGCCTTCCAACCGTTCCGAAGAGTCACTGTCCGAATCGGAGGACATTGAAGTTTTAATACCAGAAGAACTCAGAGAATATGCAGAAAAGGTAAGCAGCATGAGTCCGACTGTTTACCCTTTTGTTCTCCTCATTCATTTGGATGGTGAAGCGCTGTCGCTATCGTCTGAATATTTTCAATATGTCAGATGATTATTGGAAAACTTTCACGATTTGGTTTTGGACGATCACTCAAAATGGGCAAAATGGCTTTCTATTGTGTGGCGATGTCCTATGTGGCGAGTGTTCCAAACTTCATGGCGTTTAATTATGCAGTTCGCAGATTATGGGTGTACGTGACCTTTCTCGTCATTTCTTTTTAGACAATTTTCTGCGAGGTTGGGGTCCTATATGAAACTAAGGTAATCACCTATTTGCAGTCCGCTTTTGTCGATTCCCTGTGTTTTCTGTATGATTCTAATCGGATTCCCAGTGACGTACCTGGAGTTAGCATTGGGACAATACACCCAATCAACTATGCTTACTGTCTTTGATCGTATCGCTCCGATCAGCTTCGGTAGGTCTCTGACCAATCACCATATCCGGGAAAACGCTGCACTTCTACTTCTAGGTGTTGGCGTGTCAGCCACTATACTACTTATGGTGAGCACGATAATTGACAACGACATATTGGCCCCCATGGCCCTTTCTTTGTACCACACGTTCGACATATTCGGCACTGAGCCACATTGGTACGATTGCGCTGGAGATCACATCAGAGAAAGTGGGTGATGAATTTATAAATGCAAAGCTTACCTACTATCCTACGTGTGTGTGTGTGTGTGTGTGTGTGTGTGTGTGTGTGTGTGTGTGTGTGTTGCATGTGCGTGCAAGTGATGTTTGACCGGAGATTCATAACTAGTTTTTTTTTCAGCCGTTGAGAATCTGAATTAATAAGTGACGAAGGTAATGGGATGTTAACATTATTGGTGGGTGACAGCAAGTGATAACAGCTGATAAGCTTTGATAAGCGGCGTTTCAAGGACAAGATCAGCAAATTTGTAATGCGCGTCGCAGCTAATCTAGCATGTTAGTTCCAAGAGATGATGTATTGGCACGATCAGAACACTGTTGTCAGTTAAGAATATTGCAGCAACTAAGAAAAGCTGAAAAGGAGCGCTGGGAAGGGAGGATCACCAAATTAATTACGCGCGTCGCAGAAGCTGAGGTACCTCAGGTCCAAGATGTGAGAAAGGGGACGGGAGTAGCACATAGATGGTGTGTGGCAGGAAATTATAATAAGGAGAGTGACAACAGCAATATAAGGACATTGGTTCAGGGAACGGACAAGGGAGTAGGATTGGGGCATCATTATTGGGTGACAGAATGATAACACCTGATAAGAGCTGATAAGGGGCGCCAGAGAAGCAGTCCTAAACGTTTGATGGTGCGAGTTCTTGCAGCACCTTTTTTGCACTTTCCACATCAAGCTGCAATCGCCATACTTCAAGGATCAAGGGGCAGAGGCTCAGAGAGTGAGAATGTTCTGTTGCGTCTCAACTGCAACAGAGTTGGTTCGTTTTCTAAACTTTTAGGTTCCGACAAAATGTAAATGTTCAGTGAAGTAGCCAACCAGGACTCATAAGAGTTATTAAGGAACGATTGAGAGACGAATGTGAAAACTGCTCTATCAAGGCTGCGAAAACATCCGATCTCATATCAGTACTATCGCTATCAGAACATTTTTTACCGCTAAACCGTAATTATTCCAGTAAATGGTAGTCGTTCGGAAGTTTGACTGCAGATTGGCAATTGATCATTCTTCAAAGGGAGTAGGGAGAGTCAGGCGGTTCAGTGTTCGGTACAGTTACATAGGTCTCTGCGAGTATCCCATCAGCACATGGGTTGTAGATGTAGCACATGCAATAGTGCGCTAGCAAAGCCAGTTGTATTTTAAGTACCAAGTTGATGTGGTGATGGGTTAGTTCGGCGCTCGCAAATACCTCAAATTCAGCGAAACGCTCAGAATGATTGAGATAATAAAATGGGACATTTGAATGTCAGATAGTGACAGCAGCTGTTGAAAGCAGGCAAGGAATGTTAGCTGGTGGTGGCGTGTTGGCATGCATATTTGTTTTGCGGAAAAGAATGGGACATGGGATGTGGACGCAAGATGTGAGAGCTGACTGGTGCTGATGATAGTCCTCAAAAAGGTGGTGTCAACGACTCTTCCTTTGACGGTGCAGAACTTCTGCTGAATTATTTCGTCAAGTTAGTATGGATGAATGAATTGTTGGCGGTGAAAAAGTTATAACTGTTAAGACCAAATACGTGTTGTCAAGAAAGTGTCATCGAGCTCATAGCGATCGTCGTGAAAAAAGTATGAGCCTTCGCTTTGAGAAGTAATCCAGAGATTAAGACCGAGACTTCAATGAGAAATGGATATAACTGGCAAAGGAAAGTGCTAGAGAGTGTCATCGTGTTCAAAGAGCAGGTACAGAAATAGTTGGTCGTTGACTCCAGCTGTGGCAGAGGGAAAGAGGGGGTGCAATACTGAAATTGATGGTTGCTCACAGAAAGTGATAAATACTAATACATGCTGATAATTGGCATGAGGACGGGGCTGTCATTAATGCTATAACGCCGCTGCAACAAAAGTGTAGGGTTGGTTCCAACAAGTGAAACGGAGGCTCTTCAAAGCTAACATACGTGGCATTATCATTTTGCAGCGCACTGTGTGCCATCGAAGGCTGTGCCAAGTGGTCAGCCATGAAAAAAAATCTGCCAAAAGTACATATAATCTTGTGCAGTGCAAAAGCTACGAAGAAACCCTTGAAGATTACCACAGAATCAGTTGCATTTTGAAGTACTGAATCCCTAGTGTTCATTTCAGAAACTAAACATAAAACATGGAGACGTATGCCACTATATTTTCACTGGCTTCTGCCTGCTTGCGTTCAAGGCTCCTGACTGGATGCATTCAAGTGTTTTTTTTTCAGGTTGTCGTTCAGCTCACAGATATTGCGACGACATTAAAACTCCATCAGGGATGGAGTCGGCTATGAATGATCACTTCGAATTACGTTTGTTGGCTGACACTTGTGTTTTACCCTCACTTAAATCATTGATGAAACGCTACCCTACTGGGTCAGCTAAAGTGCATGAACAGTTAACAGGCATTGTGGACTTGCTGCCGCAACTGCATTTCAGGTAAGGCTTGAAAGTGATTCAGAATTAGCTTAATAAAATCAGATAAAAAGGAAGACACTTGAAATCACAGTCAACGTAAAGCTCGATGGGAGACTATGTATGTCAAATATACCCAGCTCCTTATGGTTAGCGCACCTCAGCAGCGGGCAACATCATAGAATTCACTCAAGAAGCTAGTTTTTCGAAGACGCAGTGTGTGACAGCAAATCAATGGCATTGAGGATCGAATAAGAAACTGTGTGCGCTACTTGGCTAACCCGCAGAAATAAGAGCAGGAGAAACTGTCGAATGAGCCCAAATAGGGAAGAGCTGTTTCGGCATAAGGCAGGAAAGCACAGTAACCAACGCAGAGAAAAATGGTGCGAGGGCGGAAGCCAAGGATAGCGACCGAGAGCTCACAGTAGGACAGAATGCGAGAAACCAGACCGCAACATCACGCAGTATTACCAGCCGTGCAGCAATTCACGTATGTGGGTAGAGGCGGTTTGAGTAGAAGTGACTGAAATTACTGACTCCTTACCACCGTACACCGTACCACCTCAGGCGCCGAAGTGGTAAACTTTCGGCGGGCACGGACTTACACAATGCATACGTAGAAGGGAAGCTTTTCGAAGCGGAATGCGTCTTTAACTCAATCGCCGAAGAGAAGCGTGCCACTCAAACGCCTTATGCGGCTCCGTGCAAACTTTGCAAGATCTCAGAATTACCCCAGGGTTAGTATACGACTAACGACTAATCTCGATGGCCACTGTATACGCAATCAAAATTTGTGTGGAACATTCAGAACGACAGCGAAAAATATCGGAAGTGGAGTGGGGGCAAGTACTCACAGATTTCTAGTGACTTGCACCAGGTGTAACAATCGTTATGCCACCTGACGACACGCGCAGATTGGCTGATACTGTGTAAATTTGTCATCTATGTGTTGTGTGCGCATAGGATTGTATTACCCATACAAAATCATGAAAGTGGTGCATAATGGCATCCTTTTGTGTGTCGGAGGACGCACAGGCGGCGTCGTGAAGCGGCCAGTCAGCCCACATTAAGTGGTTGCTCTGCTTCTTTCTTCATCCATCCGTCCATGGTGGCTGCCGTCCCAGACCAATGAGCTGTACAATGGGGTGGATCATCATAGGGCCGAACCAGCCGCAGAACTTTCCAGGTAACCACTAAAACCCTTAACGAGCATTGGAAGCATCTTCCTCTCCATTAACCTTTCTAAGTAGGAGGTGCACACAAACCTCCTAGTTAGGGGACAGGAACATTATTGATGGGTGACAGGGAATGATAGCAGCTGATAGGATTTGATAGTTAGAATGGTAAGGTCACCATACTCATAACGCGGAACACAGCATCAGCTAGGCATTAATTTCAGAAAATGATATAGAGTTGGAGATGGGGACACGGCACGTGAGGTGATAACAGCTGATAGGGGCTGATAAGGAACGTTGCCAATGCTGTTCAGTCAAATTGCTGGAGCCTTTACACTACCAAATTATAGAGTTTTAGTGATAGGGACATTGATGATGACGGATGACGGGTGACAGGATCTTATCAATTGATAAGAAAGGATAAGGGGCCATTATCATTACCTCTCTTATCACTATACCCCAAGTATCAAAGGCTCAGTGTGCACACTTTTCCTTTAGCCATCACTTCCGGTGTTCTTCACCTGTTATGAGACTTACCTGCCGACCGTAACTGTCGTTTGAAAAATATTCCGGTGCATTTAGAAGAGGACTAATGAGTTGCCCCGCATTGTCGATCAGAATGATAGAGGCATCATTCAGACTCTGATAGCACGAATTTCTGGACAGACAGACAAACGTAGCAAATTACATAAAGTAGATTTTTCCCATTTCTGTTTCATAACTTATTCGTTTTCAAGCCGTAAATTACTCGATTAGTTTTTGTTTGCTGTTCAATCATGCTCCGTTATACCATTGCTTTCCTTGAATACTTATTCATCATGCAAATCACAGTCATGCAAACAGTCGCCCTTAGGCAGGAGGCATGGCAGTGGCGCTGGTAAGCAGGTTAGGATAAAGTACTTCACCAGATTGTATACCATAGGGGATGTAAGGGTCTACAGGTGGCGAATAGCAGCAACAACAAGCGTGGCAACACCGTGGGCGAGCGAAGGCAAGCGCTCTATAAGTCTATGAGTCCCCTTGCCCCAACTGTGGCTCTTTCTACCACGGGTGAAGCTCAGATTGTATTGGCATAAAGACTGAGAGCAGAGGCCCCCGGCACGACAGTTTGTAAGTATTTCTGTCGGTGTGTCTATCCAAATACTGGTTTGTATATCTGTAAGTCCGCAAAAGCCTCTGGGTGTGAAATGAGAGTTGATAGAGAAGTCACTGTGGGGAAAAATAAATTGGCGAAGCGGTACCAACGAGCGAGATGCTGTGGTTCTGATAACATTTCCCTCTATCATGAAAAGCTTGAAGTCAGTGTTCAATCGCCCAACTCAGGAACAGCATTGCCTTCTGGTAAAGCCGGATATGGAGGAACAGCTGACGGGGAGCGCGAACATTTCAGATCATTGAACTGTGTAGCCGGCCCTACCAAACGGAGCCTTG